AGGCGTTGGGTGTTATTATCCCAGAAACATGTGACGCGATATACAGAGTACTGCGGAAAGATTTTTTCAAGGTGAGTAAAACAATTTTCATCTTTTATACGTTGGTAATCATTAATTCTAGATACATATGCCGTGGCTGATTGTCCTAAAATAGATAATTGCCTTTGACTATTATCTGTTGAATGTTGTGAATCTGAATTGTACAGCACAAATGGCGTGGATTGTGCTGGAATAGATAATTCTACTAGAGTATGTTCAGTTGAATTTTTTGAATCTGAAAGCGAGGAAGAATAATAATCTAATTCTTGCTCGTTTTCTGGCACTGGAGTGGAAGGAGATGGACTGGGAGTTGGTGTTGCACGAATAAACTGTTGTGACTGGTATGTTACAGGACTGCGAGTTGGAGTCACACGAACGAACTGTTGTAGCTGGCGTATGGAAGGACTGGGAGTTGGAGTTACACGAGTGAACTGTTGTGTCTGGTGTGTTGGAGGACTGGGAATTGGTGTTGCACGAAAGAACTGTTGTGGCTGGTGTGTTGGAGGACTGGCAGTTGCACGGAAGAACTCATGTTTATGTAACTTTCCTTGTGGGATAATCAAGCTGCCCATGTCCGCTTGAAATAGCATGTCATTTATGACTTTTTCAGCAATCAGTCCTTGCTGTTTTGGTATATCGCGCAGTTTCACTGCGACAGTTTTGCCAAAAATGTCAAATTGGTCTTCTTTTAGTAAAGAACGTTTGAAATGATCGTTTACAGATTGCAATACTGCGTCAGATATATCTGTCGACTAATCAATTTTGATAACTTTTTTTTTGGGTGGTCTAGGGCGACTTGATTTTAATGCAGAGATAGAAACTATCTCCGGAGAATCATCCTTTCCATCTTGTGACGGCAAAAATTTTTGTTTTCAGCTTCCGCAAACAAAAGAAGAATGGGTAAATATAGCAAAACATTTTGAGAAAAGATGGAATTTTCCACATTGCCTTGGAGTCATAGAGACGGAAAGCACGTAGACATAATTCCTCCAGCCTAGGCCTAGGGGAAGCTCCTATTTTTATAGCAATAAAGGTCGATACAGTATGGTACTTCTCGCAATCGTGGATGCTAGGTACCAATTTATAATATGCAACTTTGGTGTTAACGGCAGGATATCTGACAGAGGTGTGCTTCAGACTACTAAATTCTATGAATTGCTTCAAAAAAATCAATTCAATATCTCATCAGATGCGCCTATAAAAAGGAGTTAAAGTACTTCTCCTTATGTATTCCGACAGGCAGATTTGGATTTTAAAGAAAGAAAGATATACAAACTACTGAGTATCTCGAGCGAGACCCAATGTTGAGAATGCGTTCGGAATTTTGGCTTCTAGATTTAGATTATATATAAGACTCAAATTAATATAAAACCAGAAAGTATTGAAAGGGTGGTAATGGCAAGATGTGTTTTTCACAACTTTTCAATGTCGACATATCGAATCCATATACTTCCGCAGACTGTTTCGATCATGGAAACGAAGAAATAAGTTGAACCATAACATCAGGTTTAACTTCACATGATTCGAACATGGAACCATTAAATTGCAGAAACTTTGGAAATATTCCAACTGCCGCCAAAAATATCAGAGAGCAGTATGTGTTACTTTAATAACCAGGGAAGTGTACATTGGCAGGAATGGCAGGATAACTTCATCCATTAATTACATCGACAATAAATAAACTAATATTTATATACAGTGTGTCCAAGATAAGGATGGGATAACATTAGGATCTGGGAAATGGTTGGAGTTACGTTGGTTAAATTAAGAAAAAGTTGGGAAATTTGACTACCAACATGAAGTTATTGTAGAATTGGGCTTTAATTCAGAATTCTAAATGGCTTCAAATTTTTTAATAAAAATAACAGGACCGTATTAAAAAAAATTAAGTTGATTATGATGGTTTCTGAGAAACGGAACGTCGCATTGAAAATATGTGAACTCCATCTTGTTGAGCCTAAAATGTGACAGTGAAAACGTGTTTTTTATTATTTGATATCTGTCAAAATGACGTCAGGAATAAATAAAAGCCAAAATCGAAAAAAAAACCTTTTTTTTAACAGACTTCACAGATTTCGCAATCCTTGCAACCATCGGAGACATTGGAATAATGATAACACTATTATAAGGAACCTATTTTACACATTATATATATATATATATATATATATATATATATATATATATATATATATATATATATATATATATATATATATATATATATATATATATATATATATATATATATATATATATATATATATATATATATATATATATATATATATATATATATATATATATATATATATATATATATAAACAATGGGAGTTTCTTGGGGTATCGGTCGTCTTGAAGGGCTAGGAAATAAAAATCTCTTTTTCCACTAAGCCGAGCTTTCGGCAATTATTTATTGCCTTCGTCAGGGCTACAACAATATAAAAGATCTTATTATTATGAATAATCAAAACTCCCATTGTTTATAAATTCTCCGGTCAAGATACTCTGTAAATATATATATATATATATATATATAGTACAACGGTCGAAATTTGATCGTATATTTTCTTATTTTATATATATATATATAAAAAATATTTGGTTTGATTTTCCATGCTTTTCCATCCATAGACGCGTTTCGACCTATCAGGTCTCATCAGTATGGCTAGGAAAAGCAAAGAAAACCAAACCAAGTTTCGTGCCTGTAGGCGCCACGATCAAATTTCGACCGTTGTACTATATATATATATATATATATATATATATATATATATATATATATTTATTTTCGTCAGTGAGATACACAATAACTCGTGCTACGCACTCGTTGTGCAACTTCCACACTAATCCACACGCGTATCTTAAGTAGGTACCTATGCTGTTAACTCACTTGTATCGTAAATATCTAGTATTTTATTGAAATCCCCTTCCAATAGAACAAACACTAAACGCTATGATTTTTGTCTCATTATCACATAATCCCCAAATATTTTTTTTTCCCCATTTTGACGGCCCAGATAATGATATAACCCTTGCCGCGCACTGCTGTTTGCCGGCAAGGCGCGGTGAGCATGCTTCGCCTTGTACTTCAAATTTCACCGCACGCTCCTGTCGACACCGCCCTCTTTTGACCTTGAACGTAAACTTCGAATCTGAGCCCCATATACACGCGAGAACATAAACATTTCCAATGGTAAAAAAAACGGAATCGGAAAAAGAAAGCCCAATCCTACAAACTTTATGTGAAAGGTAGTCAATTTGCCCAACTTTTTTCTAATCTAACCAACATTGTAACTCCAGCCGTTCCCCAGATCAATGCTATCCCATCCTTATCTTCGACACACTATACTCTGCCTGTAATTCGTAGCGGGCCATTCTATGGCTCCTCTTCGCCCTATCCAGCGGTTACGAAAAGTGGCGTTTAAATAACCTCTAACAGCTTGCCCGAGCTCTATCCTGCTGAAACCACGTATGGCGTAATAGTGGTCCTACTTCATTAGTTGGAACAATTTCATTTCGCAGCATGCGAAGATACATTTCGGCAGTCAAATTCCCCTCTATGAAGTTGCCAATAAAGCGAGCTAAGTATGTGTTTCTCTCACCCAGTGTGGGTTCTTCCTGTTTTTGCATCATTACTTCGCAAAATTCCAGTCTACGATCGAAATCGTCTTCTGATAATTCCTGCACAACAGTTATTTTATAAGGGCGAAAATTATTTTTCTTTTTCAAATACATATTCCCAATTGACTTAAAACAAACAGCAACTTGGGTAGCAGCTTTTATCAGTGATAAATGTGGATCCTGAACAAAATTAAGTAATGTTTCCAATGTTGGTCTTCCGGAACGAACTTCATCCCTGCAACACCCGGTTTCCTGAAATCTTTGAACTGTTGCCACAATTGTAGATTTAGATAGGCTGTCGGTTTGGAAAAGTTGTATTAAATTTTATTAAGACCTACAACTTTTATACAGGAAGTTATTTTATATTGTGCACCATTTTCGAAATAATTGACTATTCCGGGACTTTCTACACACTGTGTAGGTATACGATAAACAATAGACGTCAATAGACATAAGGTGGCTTACTTGGAATTTACTGGGTTTTTTATGTAGGTAGGTACCTGAAGAATCTAATATAGAGCAACATTCAAAATTTCAATGTTAATAGTGGTGGCGCAAAACTACTGGGACACTTTGTATAAAAAATGTGGGCAATTTATGATAGATCACCCTGTAGTAAGTAAATATTTGCAAATAATAATTAGGTATACTTAATAATATTTATATTTAATTTTGTGTATACTTATGTGAGAACTATCATCTTCGTCAATATTGGAACGAGAAGATCTTGGCGTTCCTTGGTCGTCATCAAGAAATTTCATTAGGTACCTAAATCATAATACCATAATATTGGCCATTGGCACATAAGCATCATTGGTGCCTGCTCCAGATCGTGTAGACTATTCTATCTTCTTCTTTTCTTTCCCTGTAGTTGGTAAATCGGCCATTAATTTTTTTAACTATCATATATCTCGGTTGGCCCTTGGTTCAATTTTTTAAAAGATATCTACTAATTTCTGATAAGCGGCCGTTTTTTTGACCCTGTTGTGGTTATCCTGGTTTTTTATTTCCTAGAGGCATGGTTCATTTCTATATAAATTCATAAATTTTCACGAACTCCGCGTGTGTCACTTTTTGGCGATGGACAAGGCGGCTAGGCTACAATACAAACAACCACTAAATACTTGAACTAGCAGATCGAACACTGTGCCACACACGCTCAAGTAAACTTATGCTAACCCAAACTTGTGCAAGTTCAGAAATTTGCACAATTGTCTTCCGACTAGAGCGCAAACTGGTGCTTTGCGGCCTGGTCGTATGAAAATTGCATTCGATTGTAGAAAATGTAGTACCTTAACCATTACTTACGGGAGGGCCTATATAAAAAAACCAGAAATGAAATCAAAACAAGCTTTATTGTCGTAAAATTCTGATCTAAGTGACAAAGCATTTGTTAATCTATACTTAATTTTAATTTTCACTTGCGCGAAATTCGCTCTTTTTTGACATTGCTTCGACAATTTGACATTTGATACATGCATAAAACGTCAAATTGTCGAAGCAATGTCAAAAAAAGAGCGAATTTCGCGTAAGTGAGAATGAGGCATTATACAAGTTATATCAACCAACTGCCAGGCTAAATCATTATCAATTATCTGCTTTTTAGATGCTTTTATGAGGTTATACCCTTTCCACCATGTTTCTGATGACTTGTACAAATCTAGAAATTTGCGCAATTGTCTTTCAACACATGTAGTGTATACTCATGCGAGTTCACACTTGCGCAAGTATATCGTAACGGGTGTGACTGGCAATTGCCAACGCATTCCTATAAGGAACGTTCATTTGTTTTCAATCTTTTGCTGTAGCAATTGATCCAACTATTTTTTTCTGTCACCGTGTCTTATCAAATCAAATAAATATTTTTTAAAACACAAAGTTTCCGAATGTAAATATAATTTACAAATTGAAATCCTAATAAATAAATAAATAAATAAATAAACATTTATTGACGGTTAAACCATTTCAAAGCCATTTCAATGGAACAAAATACATTTAAGAGAATAAATTATTTAATCGCTGAATTACAGTCTTAAATCTACCAAAAGTTGAATTATCAAAGAAGTCAACATCTGGCAAATTAGCCAACCTTCCAAATCTGGCAATCGGACAATAAAACCCATATTACTTAACTACTGTGCTCGCTAATATGATTGAGGTATTATGAAATATTTCTGGTAGATTAATAATGGAAATTTAAAAAATATATATATGAAAAATTAAACAGAGAACAAAGGAACCCACGAGTTAATTTTTATTCTTATGATACCTGTAACTTTTTAATCACCTTCATATGAAAAATTTTCCTTGAAAGTTACGGACACTACTTTTTTGCAACTGTGTATTGCTTATCGTGAGACTGATACAACATCAGGCATTACCTAATGGGTTGTCAATAGACTTTATTCACCTAATGAAAATTTTTAATGCAGCCCTGTAGTGTAAAACAAAAGTTTATAGAATAGTTGGGCTTTTGGCGGTGAGAACATCTTGCATAAAAAAAAACAATGAATTAAATTTTAACAAATTTCTTAGGATGATTTACCTATAATGTATTTTTTATTTTAAAATATGTTTAGTTTGTAGCTTATATAGTAAGATCCTACAATCCAGACAAATTTGTCAAAATACACCTTATCGCCTATCACATTTCCACATTGCGAAAATAAACATATTTTTTTATTAGCTGTTTGTAGAATGCGTAGCTTTACTCATCATACTTTCCACTCTATTGGCAGTTTCTCTAACAACATCTGATAGTTCTGGAAGCTCAGGTAAATCAATAGTTATATGCGCTGAAAGTCTCTTGTAAACTGAATTGGAATCTGATTTTTTTCGCCTGGATTCTTCATATTTAAGTTGTTGTTTTAAAAAAATCGCATTTTTTAAATTTTCACGAATATTATCAAAACATTCATCTGCGCTGTCCATTGATTTTAGGGCCCTAAAAAAATTTAAACATAAATTAAAGTTCTTGATGAGTATGGAACAGTAGGATAAGGAAAGAAAAATTAGGTGACCTTTGACTAATTTAATTTATTGGATGGATTTGTTCTGTTTGGTAAAATAGAAAATACAATTTTTCTTGACTACAATAAGTCTAAATGAGTCAATTATTTATATTTCTTGTTCGTGAAATTGGTGAAAAAATTAAAAAAAAGATAGATCGAAAAATAAATAATATGTATGCATATAGAGGTTTAAGGTATAAGAAAAAGTTTTATTTTCTCTTCACACTTTTTGACTGTTGGGTCTTCATTAGTGGAATGTCACAAAAGAAAATTTTCTTTTAATTAAAACGCCGATCTCATTATTGAACATGCAATAAACAAAGGACAGTTGTAACACTACATGTTACAAACAAAACAAAAAAGACACGAGTTGTATCTGTTCCAGCCAAGCAGAAACTAAATGTTCCAGTGTGTCATCCCTTGTACAAGTTTTTATTAGTATGTACTTGATACGTTCGCGACGTCATGCGCCACTGGTGGCCCATGACGGCTGATCCCAGCAACCGTCATGTACCACATGTGGTACACCATGCCCTGCAAATCTAATTTAGAAACGCGACGGCTGCATAGAAAGCTTGGAAAACAAGTTATGGCTGTACGTAAAGGTGGTACATGACCCGTGGCACATGCGGTGGTACATGCGGTTCTACATCGGACATCTCTTACATTGATTTCTATGATTTTTCTCCACCTACTAAAATAACAGAATTTTAGTAATAGTTTTAATTTTTTTTTTCATTTAGGCAACACCCAGTATATAGTTTTACATTACTTAATTAAATTATAACTGATAAAAACTTCTGATAACATGCCTTTTACATGGTGGCCACCGGTGGTACACCACGTCCCTGAGAAACAAATATTAGTCACAGCCGTCATGTACCACCGCTGGTACATTTGGAAAAACAACAAAAAATTACAAAAAAACTCAAAACATGTATATAACAATTGATTGAACACAAATACACTATATTCACATGTTGAACAAAAATAAAATAAATTACGGCTGTGCATTAACACACCCGAAATCGGCTACGTCGCGAACGTGTTGATTGGGCATGCACGCGTTGGCGTGATGGCGTGTCTCCTGTTTAATATAGCTATGGAAAAAGTGGTTTGAGATGCGGAACTTGATACAAGAGGCACCATCTTCAATAAATCAGACGACATGGACCTGACCTCTAGATCAATTAAAAAAGCAAAAGAAAACCTTGTTAATTTTGAAAACGCCGCAAGCAATACAAATAAATGCGAACAAGACAAGGTTTATGGCTGCCCAAAAAGAATGCAGAGTTAGAGACGCAGGTCAAAATATCACAGTTGAAGATTATACCATCGAAGCAGTGGGCGAGTTCCTGTACCTCGAAGTCCTGATAAAGCCGAGTGATGATATCAGCAAAGAAATAAAAAGGCGTATAATGCTCGCTTATTGTTGTTATTATGGACTGTCAAAATATCTGCGTAAACCGAGCCTCTCAAGAAGTACAAAAATTAGAATTTATAAGACCTTTATCATACCCGTGTTAAACTACGGCTCGCAAACCTGGACCTTAATAAAAGCAGGTGAGACGTTATAAGCAATATTTGAAAGATCCTGCGAAAAATATATGGTGCTGTGCAAGATGATAACGTCCGGAGACGTAAATTTAATTTTGAATTCTATAGCCTATACAGAGGGTCAGGAAATGGGAACATAATAAGAACAATCAAGATTGGCAGGCTTAGATGGGCAGGACATGTCATACGCTATGACACAAGCGTACCAACAAGGCGAATCTGTGAGGCCATACCAACAAGCAACAGAGGCAGGGGAAGACCAAAGCTCAGATGGAGGGACGAGGCGCTGGAAAGATTGGTGCAGCTAACTCGAAGGTCCTTGCAAGAGACTGGAAAGGGTTGCAGACGACGCTGGAGAAAGTTGAGGGTTGAGGCCCCCCTGTAGGGCTGTAGTACTAATAATGATGGTGAACTGGCTATTAACTAATGCAATTGATATTTTATGGAGTGATAAGAATACTCGATTTGACCATGCTAATTGTTACAATATTTGGGATCATTACATAAAAAAATTACATGAATAAAATCAACTACCACATGTAGATGGATTACTAACACTTTTCAAAATGTTTTTCTCTTTCTTATTCTCGACATGAAAAGTAAAGGAAGCTACTATTGCTCGTCTGACTCTTTTCAATTTAAACTAAGTTAGAAGCATTGTTCCAAAACTTTTCTGAATGCTGATTTGCCAAAATCCATTACATGCCATAGTAATGAAAAGTAGTTAGGACACGAGGGGGAAACCACCTTAGAATTTTGGTGTACAAACTGATAGAATTTTTTAGAATTTCTTAGAATTTTTTAGAATTATCAGTATTTTTTAGCATTTTTTAGTATTTTCTAGCATTTTCTAGAATTATTTAGAATTTTTTAGTATTGTTTAGAATTGAGTTTAGAATTGAATTAGAATTTTTTAGAAATAATTTAGAATTTTCACCTATTGCGCATAATTAAGAGCCCGCGCACTGCGCAATCTGTTGGGATTTTTGGAAATTTTTTAGAATTTTTAGAATTTTTCGAGAATTAGCATTTTTCAAAATTTTAGAATTATTATTTTTGGTGTAAAAAAATAGGTAGGTGGGTCCCCCCGAGCGGGAAACCTTCCTAGAATTTTGGTGTACAGGGTGATCTATTATAAATGTCACCCCCTTCTAACTTTTTCATTTGACATTTTTGACAAAAGTGTCAAATACAAAAGTTTCAATACATTGTCGAAAGTTTTTAACCAAGTCAGTTTTAGACATACAGGGTGTGTCAAAAAAGTGTAGCAGTGTGAAGTTATATTTTTTTAAATGGAACACCCTGCATATTGTGCGATATACGATTTGATGTCAATCTTCGATATTTATAATGAAAAACATGAAAACTCCTTTCAAGGTTTCATATTGAAAAAAGAAAAATTATACCATTTAAGCTTTAGAGAATTTTTTTTATGAACAGTTTATTGTTCAAATTTTATTCATTAATATACAAGGTGAAATATTATAATATTATAATAAATCCAGTTATTATTATTATTTTTGAAAAAATAACATGAGAGAACTAGCAAGGGATTTTCGCTTTTTTCCCTATAACTATTGAAGATAAACAGAGAGATAAACATATCAAACCGTATATCGTTGAATTCATATTATCTAGTATGGTGCTGGAACTGGTAAGGGGACTAACAAATAAGCGCACAATATACAGGGTGTTCCATTTAAAAAAATATAACTTCACACTGCTGCACTTTTTTGACGCACCCTGTATGCCTAAAACTAACTTAGTTAAAAAAAAATGATAATTTCTTAAAACTTTTGTATTTGACAGTTGACACTTCTGTCAAAAACGTCAAATGATAAAGTAAGCAGGGTCGACATTTATAATTGATCACCCTGTACAAACTGATAGAATTTTTAGAATTTTTCAGAATTATCAGTATTTTTTTGCATTTTGTAGTATTTTTTAGCAATTTCTAGAATTATTCAGTATTTTTTAGAATTGAACTAGAGTTTTTTAGAAATAATTTAGAATTTTTATCTATTGCGCATGCTCAAGAGCCTGCCCAATTTGTTGGGATTTTTTAGAATTTTTTAGAATTTTTAGAATTTTTTGGGACAATAATAACATGAAAATTAGCATTTTTCAGAATTTTAGAATTTTTGGTGTACAAAATTAGGTAGGTGGTTTCCCCCTCGGTAGGACATAATAAAATTAGGTAATGCTTGACAAAGAAAGGTCAACTAAATAAATAAACTGGATCAGTGCACAAGATTTTGTGATGTAGGAATCAATGTTAAATAGATTCAAAAAAATTCTTGCCCAACTGCATATTCCATATCATAACATCTCCCTTGCAAATCTGTATGCAATTTATTAACATCTGCCCTTCGGTCCACCATAGGATTTAAAGCTTTGCGTACATGTTCTTGTAGTCTATAAAATGCTAAGGATGGTTCATTGGCTACTATATGCATATTTTCTGAAATTCTTTCTGTGGCTAAAAAATAGCAAAATAAGAAAAATAGAAACCAATAGGTGGTAGGTATACCTAGGTGAAGTACCTACAAATATTGCTTTGGGAATTCTCACCTTTTCGCACTTTCACATCCAAGTCAGAATCTGAATTATACGACATTTTATAAATGATAATATTGGATTAACAACACAAACTTCACTTCTAGGATTTCTGTAGAGAGCTAGTGATGGTTGTCAAGAGATGTCTGACATGATGGACATTTATGCCTCATTCTCAGTTTTTTCCTCACTGTTATTTTATTCCACTGCAAAAAAATAGTTAGTGAAACACCATAGCACACAAATGGGATGGCACAAAAGTGGGATATTCTAGCTCCCAGGCAACAGAGGAAAGCGGTTCACACAAGAAATATTTCCTTGGTAAAGAGGCTAGTTCAACAGATTCGAAAAACAGTTAAGAGTTTCAGGGCGCTGATGAATTATTATGACCAATTTTATAATTAATTTTATTTGTTTAGGTCCTCAGATTCTACTCCCATTTTTCATAAGTATTTCACATAAAGGTGGGTTTGGCCAGCTTTTAATGCATAGTGTCAAAGACAATTCTGCTCATTATAAAATGGGCTTTGATGGTGCATAATTTTAATTCATACTAGATGATTTTTAAAACTCAAGATTTGACTACATCTGTTTATACGGCGCATAGTGGATATAATGCATAATTTAGTAATCATACTCTATTATTTTAAGTTTTGATTATAACTCAATCATTGCATATGGCCAAGTATTGATTGCACATGATTATGATGGTCTAGAGTAAATGCCATCTAACTTGATAGAGGAATAAGATAAATTGGGTTTGGAAGTAAATATGACAAAAACATCTAACAAATAAACCTAATGTCTAGTGCATTTTGGGTAATAAATTAAGCTGGGTGATATAGAGAAAAATATAAATTAATGAATAGTCGGGATACAGCCAATTTTTATCTAAAGAAAAACTCTTTTTTTTTTCGTAAAAACGTTCGCAATAGGGTACTTGCATGGAAAATTAAATTGATTATTGTTTATTGCAAACTGTAGGAAATCGAAAAAAAATCGTTACTTTCTTTTCATTTCGCCCAAATATGATTATTTCGGAAGTTATACAAATATTAAGCATGTGCGACGTCATAAAGTATTATACCTGATGACGTCATAGGCATATTTCATAGCGTTGTATCTCCGTCAATTTTTGACTAAGAAGAAAAAGAAAAAACACGTGTTGACTTATTTTTCATGGACTATCGAAATCAGCAATAAAAAATTTTGATGCAAGGGGCCTATTGTTTAATTGCTTCCCGAGAGCTTCCTTAGTTACAGAAGTTCAGTTAAATACATCTATATTTATACATTAAATAATTTGTGTTCTGTTAGTCCAAAAATGCTAACAGAATATTGAATTGACTTTGAAATTCAACACAAATTATTTAGTATTAGATATATTTAACTCATGTATTGATGTCTCTGAACAACTTCTCCTCTATAAGGCTCAAATCAGACCATGTTATGGGATCGTTTCCACATCTGGAGCGATGCTCCCAAGCATTTGTTGGCTCTATTAGATGTAGTACAAAAAAGAGCAATAAAACTGATCCATAATCCAACTCTCACCAATTCATTGCAATCTCTCTTGAACATAGACGCAAGGTGGCCAACTTGTTATTCTATCGCTATTACCATGGGAGACTTTCTGACAATCTGGCCAGCCTCACTCCATCAGCTAGGAGAAGTTTTTTAAGAATGACAAGACCCTCACAGGCTGTAAGTGGTGAACTTGACTACCCCGAGGTAATATAGTAGTATAGACTTTGTCTCGGCGTTATAAATAACACATCAATCATTATGAATTAGAATTATGCACTATGCAAACCCACCTTAATAAGACTGCTTTCCTACTTTTAATTCGAAAATTGCTTTCCTCTCACTGTGGCAGGAAAACAATAGTCAAAGAAGAGTTTTATGAGATATTCATATTAGTCACCTTTGGTTTTCCCATATTCCATGTTTCCTTTTTAGTTTGGGAGGATATTCTCCTCTATCCAACTAGATCGGGTGCAGTACTTCGTACTTTGTACTTTTCCATGAAAATGGATAGCATGTGGCTGTGTTGACTGTTGTCACAAGAACTGGTTTTCATTTGTACCACCTATATCTGCTCTGAGAGCAGATCTGGAACCCATTTCTTGAAACGAAAGTTGCATTTGAAATCTGCTTGGACCAGATCTACTAGATACAAATGAAAATCTCAATAACTTGCCCATAAATAATTGTTTGTTTCATGTCTTGGCTGTGTAACCTATAACCATGGACAAATTCCTTTTGTTCCGACACCGCCGTCCGTGTGGGTGTGACTACCATAGGCGCTTTCGAATGCGTTGACTGATGCTCCAAGAGCACTCCAAGAGCGATATGCACGAATACGCATGGCACGTGGCCGAATGGGCCGATTTCTGGATATACGTTATACAGATTACAGAATAGTTAAATAGAGCGACATTTGTGAAAATATTTCGGCTAGCTAGAACTTTTTCGGCGCCCCTTATATCACGACATCGAAATAAGGATTTGAAGGTTAGTGGGTTTTGGCTACTTCTTCCATTAACTACATAGGTACTTGCATTTTCTTGCACGTTGTATTTGTAGTTTGTTTCTCCGCTATTCTTTGTTGCAACATAGCAGGACACCGTCACGATTCTGCGCAAAACCTGAATATTGTGCTTTAGAAATAGAGAAATAGAATTAAAACTCCAAATTGGGACACCCTGTACTATCACCAATAATACGCTTACCCCTCGACTACTCACCTCTACCGCTCTTTACTCACAAAATTATTTACAGACTAGTATGCTAGTATATCAATCCCCTGAAAGGTGTTTTTAGAATATTGTTGTCTAATATGACAATAGGATTCAGGAACAAACCTCATGCATCTGAGCCGCTTTCCAGCTGTGTGCTTCAAGCACGGTGCAGCACAGTATTCTGTGTTTGAAACGCAAAAGTTAGCAGCTCTAGAAGAGCAGTACGGCTGGAACACGAACACGCGCTTGAACACAGCATTTGCGCGCAAAAGCTCGATTGCGTGCTCAAAAGCGTCAGCTGAAAAGCGGCTCTGATCTATCGCTGTTCGAAAATTTTTCACAAGATTTAAAATGTATTATTGAGCTGCCTGATTTATCATAACTATAATTTTTTTGTACCCACTCATAATTCCAAAAATCACAAAATAAACAAATTCTGGTTCAAGATTTATTTATTTCCGTGCGTTCGGTATTTTGATCTGAGTTCTTCGAGCTTGAATATACCGTTCGTTTATTTAAAAAGTCTACTCGGTGCAGGCTCATTCGCGTTTGTTTAAAATTTCTGGCTTACTGATTCAGCGTTCAACTGCTCTATTCGCTCGCTGGTACGTGATTACGGCTCCGCTCAGCACGCTCTGCTCTTTGAGCAAAATACCGAACGCAAGATAAGTATCTGTTGCGTTGCTACGGTGTCCTAGAATCTCAGAGCAGATCTAACAGGTACAAATGAAACTATCGACGTTCGTTTAGAGTACTCTGATTCGTTTCTCCTTACAGGGATCTTCGATCGGTCGCGAATCATGCACTAGTGCACTGAAAAGTGAAAACGATTCGTTACATAGGAACTGCTATAAGTCGAACTGTTCAAAAAGAAACGTTTAGTTTGTGTGGTTACGGGTTTGTGTTGGTGTCGTGCTGGTGGTTTCTTTAAACCGATTCCTAGCATCGGCGAATTTAAACGGAAGGAGAAAGCATCAAACGACAAACTCAAACATCAAAGCAAGCATAGCAGAAGCAAACAATCGAAATATATTTTTTTTTTATTTCAAGACAGTTGTTGCTGTGATCTCGTGCCTGAGTCCTGTGTCGCTTCTTGGAGTCTTCTTATAAACCCATGTTAAAAACTGCCACAATGGTTTAGCACCAGAATGGTATCAAAACAAAACTAAACTAAACTAAGCTGGTAAATGTGAAAGGAAAGTGCCTGTTGCTATTTTTTGAATAGAACTGATGCAGAGACTGATACTATTTTAGAAAGTAAACTAAACAAAAAGATATATCAAATATGCAACAAATAAGTATGGATGAAAATGAAGACACCAAATCTCCTATTCGAAGGCTTGGATCTACTAGAAAACTTCTAGTTTTTAATAGTAAGTAGCCCCATTTGTCTATACATAAGTATAAGGTTTTAACAATTTTTTAAAAATAATACCTAATACTTAAATCGCTGTTGTGTAGAAGTAATATATTTAATTACCTATTGTAAAGACTCTAGAAAATGTTTGCTATAACATTTATGTTGAGAAATATAGCAGAATTCAGGAAATAGGTATACCAATCTAAGTAGGTATTTCAATTTTTTGATTGGAAAAACGGTGAGGGCTCAGTTTTATAAACCTAAGTCCTAAGTTTATGTACTCTCCCAAAACTGAATGTCTCGAGTTAGGTTAATTCTGAACTTCTGAAGGTTGGTAGTTTTTACTACCTACTATTTAAGTCTATAGTTCTTTTTTAAGATACACCTGTCGCTTCTTCCAATGACAAGCCAGTGTACCTACTGCCACTGCCTTCTGTTGTAAATTGAGGGTTTTAAATTTCACAATAGCTTTGTTCCAACACAGCAAGGCCGATACACCGATATGCCATATCGGTATCGGTCGATCCCTGGTCCTTATCTCACAAGGCAAGTTGTTGAAAAACGCCCTCGAAAACGCCTTTACTAAATGAATTTCTGAACTATGATGGGGAAGGTATAAGTTGGAGAATATTGTAAGTTTGTCTTTTCTGATAATGATTGCTACCACCACAGTTTCTCATTCAAGTGTAATGTGAATTTCGTGTATTTACATACTCAAAGGTTCATTTTTATTTTTAGTTAGGTACTTGTGTAAGTAAATATAAAATATACCTATTTAATAAAACGACCTGTTAGAGTTTTTTTTTTTTTTGATTTTTCATGAAATGCTTCAGAAAGAAAATATATAAGTATTTATACTTGTGGGAAATTGCTTCTAAGAATTTTTTATTTATTTTTCTGTAACCATAGGTTTTTTTGAACCCTTAAAAATACTGAGAAAGATGCTTTCTTCTTCTATAAATCATAAATATGCAAATTTAATATATTTATTGCCGTGTTTATTGCTAACGGATCGAATTCCATCCACGGTTGGTATAGGAAATTTCAATATCTGATTACCTATTTGCGCCTAAATGGCAAGAAACAAAATCCTTTAGAAATAAAAAGAAAACAATGATCAATTTAAAAAGATGCTTTTTTGCTCGCTTTTTTGCTTTTTACTTTTTTTATGACTTAAATAAGGGGATGGAACTCAGGTTGAAACAAGGGTTAGAATAAGAATATATCAAGCGGTTCATCTGTTCCTATTATTGTCAAGGGTTCTGGGTCCACTAAAAACTTACTCTACTCTAGCAACAACAACCTTTATTGAACAAATTCGCTTTATCAGATTTACTTATCCTCGAAAACGTAAACAATCGCATTCTAACAATCTGTAGAGCGACTGTTTGAAGGATATTTTTCGCTTCTGGATCAGCAGTAATTTTCCACCAATCTTCTTATTCCTGCATTTCTTCTGACAGATTTTTCTTTTCTCCAGTTTGTTGGGGTTCTATTTCTGCTTTCCTTTAGACTCAAAGATGGTTTGATCTCGGGTCTGATGTTGCTATCTTCAAATTGACCAGCTTTTAAGCTGCTCAAAACCCCGTTCTTGATCCGCTTCAAATCAGAGGCTTCTAACCGGAATTGTTTTGTGGGGCGCAATTCAACTCTGAGGCAGTCCTTGCCTTGATTTAGGCATGGTCGGCTGCATAAGGCATTTGTGTTGTTATGTAGCTCACCAGAGCCATTTTGGTTCAGGAAATCGTGCACAATTTCAAGTTCCCTTGGCAATTCTGGTAACATCCTGTCCTATATGTTCCAGAAGTTCATTGAGTCTTTAACAATTTCTATTGGTTCTTTTTCTTCTTCAATTCACATAGCCCTGATCTTTGGTTTGAATAGCTTACATGCCACTTCACTTTCTAGGACCCTGACTAATAATAATAATAATCATTTATTGGTGCATTACTTCACAAAGTTTACACAAGTCAAACATATAGTAGTGACAATTTTTTAGGAACTTATACAAACAATATTTATAACTAACAATCCTCTAAATCATTAAAATTATTGGTGGTATATTCCTCTATACTAAAAAAAGCTTTCTTAATTAAATAATTTTTAATTTTATTTTTGAAACAATTTAAATTTAGCATTCTAATGGAGGTTGGTAACACATTATAGAATTTGGGGCCATAGAAGGAAATTTCCGTTTTTATTTTATGTATTCTATGGAAGTTTGTATAGAGGTTGTCCCTATTCCTGGTGAGATTTTGGTGTATGTCCTCATGGGTCTGGTAATCATTGACATTACACCTGACATGAATCAGACAATGATAGACATATAAGGAGGGCACTGTTAATACCTTTGATTTCACAAAGTCATTCCTACACTCCGCTCGATAAGTTCTATGACACAATATTCGAATCGCCCTCCTCTGAAGTGCAAAGACTCTTTGCGCTTCTGCCGCATGTCCCCAGACCAGAATTCCATATGATATTTTTGACTGGACACAAGCAAAAAAGATGGCCCGTGCTGCTTGCTCGGAAACACTCTCCATCATTGTTCTGAGTGCATAGACTCCTGACGCCACTTTGGCACATATGTTATTGACATGTGGAATCCATGTCAACTTTGCGTCAATACTCACCCCCAGGAACGTAACTGGCTCATTAGGTAGTGTGAATAAAAATTTAGTAAAAGCTTTATCTTGCATTTTCTAAGCAAATACTTACTTTGCAGTGAATAAAAGTGAGTATTAGCTTTAACTAAAAATTCAATTAGTAAAAGCTATAGTTTTTAGCATTGTCTTTAAATGGTGTGAATAAAAGTAAGCAATTCCTAATTATATGAAGTAAAAGCTTACATTTTTGCAAGCCTGGTAAACCTTGGCTTAAACATTTTAGTTGTGTTTAAAAGTTTCAAAGTTTGGCAGAAATGGCTGCGTTTGAATATGAGGTCTGCGAAATTTTATGCCGAAAGAAAAGAAAGTCATGCCAAAGAATATCACAATTCTGTCAAGTCAAGGTTGGCTGAAGATTTTCTCCTACTCCAACACACCAACAGTTGAATAGTGGGGAAAAGGGGAAACAATAGCGTTCAGCGGCGCTCAGCAAATGCCGCTTTTTGTCAGCTGCTGCCGAATTTTCTAAGCGGTAAAAGTTTAGGCTCACCAACTCAACTTATGCTATAGACATGCGCAGAAGTGTCATGCGTTCAGGAAATTTACTTCCGCTGTATCTCAACTATTCTCAATTGCTTTACGCTGCAAGTTAGCGGCTGAGTACTGGTGAATTTACCCAATTATTGACTCCTTCCAGTGTTTTCACGCCGCCGGTCATAGCTTTGTTCGAACACATCAAGAAACCGCCAATGTATACCGTCATGATTCTGCGCAAAGTCAAAAAAATTTGCGTAGAACCCGAAATTCGTATACAGAGTGGTTTCTAGGCCATTCATGGGACGGTTTTTGACTTGTTGAAACAAACCTCATATCATTCCGGTTCATAAAAATATAAATATCGGCGTTATCAGTATAAAAACTTGCAAACACACTTTTTGAGAATGCTGTAGATACTTCTCGAAATCTCCGTATTTTCAGTAAACGCTTGAAATATCTAGCTTTTGCTAGTAAGTAAAAGGAAAAGGTTATTCACTTCAATTTCAGCAAATGCTATTAGCAAAAGCTAAATCTACCTAGTAAAAGCTAAAGCTATGAGTTTATACTAAAAGTGAAAGCTTAGTTTTTATTCACACTTCCCTTATGTAGCAATTCAAATTCCCTCGTGGATATTACTAGGGTGCTATTTTTTGATTCATTCATACTCAATTTATTCGCTGAGAACCAATCAGTAACCCTCAACTGTGTCTCCTCCAGACTCCGTCTGAGTGTTTCAAAATCCCTGGCCTTAGAGATTGCTGCTACTCGAGGGTTAGTTTATAAGCAGCATTCGCTGTACCTACATCCATATCTATAAACTCCATTAATAAAATTTTCAGCCGCTAGTTGTTCTCGCATTTCCGCTGCTGCTTTCGGGAGGCCAAACTAACCAGATGGCGGAATCGGTTTCAAATTCTTGTAAAATTTCGGCTGTTGTCTTATTGTTCTCAGTTGCACCTGCAATGATCATTTCCATACTGAAGCTCTAACGTATTAACAAGCGCACCATAGTTTTGTTGGGAAGTAGGCGGAAAAATCTGTAGTAAGTCTAAACTGATATTTGAAAGTTTCCTGAAGCCGGTCCTTTTTGTTGTATTCAGGGTTATTCTTGTTACCTTTCTTTCTGTCTTCTTGTTGTCGTATAAGTGCCGCAAGTCAGTCCTGTTTTTTTTGCGAAATTATAAGTATGGGAGGGAAATAGAATGCACAGGTTTTAGAATACAAATTTTGTCCTCAGGTTAATGCTTAGATTATTTTAATATAGTAAAACAAAAATACCTATAAAGTCGTCGAAAAAGGCCCTGTGGGAATTTTTAGTATATCATAGAACCCCTTCTAAAGAATACATTTTCTTTGAAAAACCCTAATTTTTATTTTTTTTTCGATTTTATCATCATTTCAATAAGAAATAATAGAGCAAATAATAGCGTTCGTTTCAAAAATTTAACCATTTAATATCGTAAGTTTGTCGAGCTGAAAGCAATCCTTTAAGTAAAAAATAGTTTATAACCTTGGAAACATAATTATTGCTAATATGACTCGTAATATGATTAATAAACGCTACATTCTAAGATTTGCGTTGTTAAATTTCATATGATGAAACATCCTTTTAATTAGAGCAATGCTGGCTACGTAGACTTTATCTAGCATCTAGTGAAATTGTCTGGGTAGATTTGAAGTGCTGGAAAGTTAAGGACTAATCCAGTTTTTGTGCAGTACTTGGGCAAAAATGTTATAAGTACTTATGTATGTCCAAGTTCTATGCCCCATGATAAAAAATACCTAAATCGGCATACTAAAGTCACCTATGTGTCCATATTTTACAGTTCTGGTTTGGGGACCATTCACCGAGCCATTCACATACAGAGGT